ATTCAGATAGAGTGGAGGAAGGTTAGATTCATTGTCATGTTTTATTCTTTCATTATCACCTATTAACCTCCCTGGCGTACTGATTATCTCAGTATTTTTTTTTCTTTTTCTTTCTTTCTATTTTTTACTTTTGAATTTCCTGCCGGTTCCGCCCCCCTGTGACGCGGGCGCTCGCAAGTGAAGGAACCCGGAAGACGGATGCCGGCATCGGCCAGAGGCCGGCATCGGCCCAAGTGCGGCTCGGGGTTACTGCTTTTGGTACTGAAAATTACACCACACTCGAGATTACCGCCAGGAAGGTTAAACAACAGTTAAACAACAGCCCTGTCTATTGCCGACACCGCCGGGTTCCCCCTGGTTCTCCTCCACACCGCCCATAGCTCGCATTTCCCTAGCGGCACTACGGACGACGTCCCCTCTTCTCGCTCACACCCTTCTGTGGATGTACTCCTCCAAGCATCACACCAGCTAAAGTCGGGCACACATCACAAGTGTTCCGATCCTCCGCACAGGCCGCCCATCTCCTGATCCCAGGATACACATGTAAGTGCCACCACTTTGATTCTCCGCTATATCTTGTCCAGTCAGCCAGTGTTTTTTGCGCCCTTTGTGTTCTTTTGATTATCTGTATCTACAGATTCTCCTCCTGTTTCCTAGGGCTGCATACATGTCTGCTAGCTAGCTCTTCCCATCCGAGAGCGCTGTTTATGTTTTTTCTGTTTTCTGATGACAAGACAATCCCAGTGTGCATTGGTTCGCCAAACTGAAGTCATTTTGCCCTTTCAAAGCAGGAAGTGAATGCTCTGCAAGTGTAAGTATTTCACAATCACAACATTTTTTCTCCTGACATGTCTATGTTGTTAGTAATTATCATACATAGAGGGATGCATTGGTAGAATTTGATTTTTGAGTGTAAAGGTCCGCTTTAACCCTTCCCCTGCCACCGCTGTAAGGCATACGGCGGAACAAAACTGTTCACAATACACCAGGTCAGTATGTCTTACGGCGGTGGCATTTCCCCGGATGGTCCCCTTTAAATGAATAGCTGTCATCAGCGGCTCACAAGCCGCTGATGACCGCTATTAACAAACATTCCATGCGGCCCCCCTACCCCCGTCTGCACTGCTGCTGCCGCATGTTCAGCCTCCCCTCCCTGACTAGAGCCGTTCCAGGCAGGGATCTGCATCTCAGATCCCTGCAGGGGGGGGGCGGAGGAGCGATCCGCTCATGATCACAGCCCAGCGGGGAGGAGAGAGCAGCCGCTGTCATCCTGTCAGTTTCTGGATGCCAGCGGCTGTGTGCGTGGCCGAGCGGAGGATCAGTAAACATCTGTGACATTTACAGATCCTCTGTGTGCAAGACAAACACTGGAGTGATCGTCTGATCACTCCAGTGTTTGTAAATAGCTAGGGACACATAATGCTATGTGTCCACCGTTATGAATGAACAGGATGCGATATACATCACTGTTCATTCATGATTTTCTGAGTGGGGTGTAGCACTCACTACAGAGGCTTCTCCCCATTCAGAACTTGTTGATAGTAAATATTTTACTATCAACAGTTTCTGAATGAATGGGAAGCCTCTGTACTGAGTGCTTCCCATTCAGTGAGTCCTGAGGCTGCAGAAAAATAAATTAAGGACTCACATCATTTTTTTGCCTTTTCACAGAAAGGCGCAGTTTAAAATTTGCAAATATTTGTTTTTTTATTAACTCAATACGGTTTTATTTTTTAGATTTAGTCAGAAAATATTTTTATTGTGGGCTGATACTGATTTTTGTGTGCTTTATAAATTGAATTGTGTATTTTTATTGGTTTAATGTTAATTTGAGAAACATTTGCGCAATTATCGCAGAGCCTACAAATTTAGTAGCACCATCTTTTTATTCTACCGGGCCTGTGCTTTCAGAAAATATATGGTTTGGGGGATATTTTACAAACCCTAGTAATGCAGAAAGCTGCAAGCTCAAAGAGAAAGTTGCACCTACAACTCCTATATCTACCTTCCAATGTCAACTAGCTAATAGTCTGTTTCCATTTTTTAGACATTGGTCACGACAATCACTTCATTGGTAATGACATCACTTCTCAAGGTGTAGGGTGTAGGTAGATGTATGTAAATTTTCACTGAAAGCCTTGCCAACTAGACATGTCAATTTGGTTCCCTTCCGAATGGATATTCCTACAAATTTTGTTATATTGAGACATGTGGATGCATCCGAGTTTCTGAATTCTAATGCTTCCAAATGCGAACAAAGCCAAATGCTTGTTTAACGAACATTCGGATCCATCCGAATTTTCGTTCAAAACAAAACTAATTCAGAAGGGATTCTTCTCTGGCCAATCAGATGGTTTTTTTTTGGCCTGTTGGTGGTTGCATTACAGGCACAGTCACGTGACTTTGTTTCAAAACAAAAATTCAGACAGATCCGAAATGCGAATAACAGGGACGTGTAGTCACGGGAGGCAGGTGATGCAGAGCCTAACCTATTATTATGGAGGAAAAAGCTGTCAGCTTCAAGTCTGAAGGTGACAGCTTTTTCTCCATTCAGATCGGCTTGTAACATGTTACACAACACAGAAAGCCTCCCCACTGTGTAACCTGTCATGGATGGAGTGCTGCCTGTTAATTATAGTCAGTGCTGCATCCAGCTTTCGACAGGTAGTTAGGTTACACATTAATCGAATTCGATGCCTCAGCAGCAGGGCCGGCGCTACCACATAGACAACACAAGCGGCCGCTTGAGGGTGCTTGTGGGGGAGGGCTGAAAAACAGCGCCTCCCTTCCATACATGGGAGCAGCACAATCGACTGGGCTCTGATCTTCACTTTCCGATAATCAGAGCCCTGCCCACAGCTCCCTCTGCTCTCTCCGAAGCTTGCTGTTCCTGCACTGTCCTGGCAAGATATTAACATATGAATAGGCCGCTGTAATTTGCATATCAATAAGCCGCTACCCATTCATATGTCTATTTATATTTGTTTAATTATTTGTTGAATTACATTTTTTTCACTTAACTTTATTGCTATCACACAGGAGCTAACAACCCCTGTGTGATAGCATTTGGAGGTGACAGGTTCTCTTGTGATAGCATTTAGAGCTGAAGCTGTCACCTCCAATACAGGAGTTCTAGCACTGCACTGTGCTGGAACTCCTGTGAAAGCAGAGAGTAGAAGAGCACAGCTCTCCCTTCTTGCTGTATACAAGGAGCGGCAGGGTTACTTTTAACCCTGCCGCTCTGCTCACCACAACGGCGGAGTGGTAGGTGCGTGGGGATGGGGGGAATGAACAAGCAGCTTCACACTACATTTAGCCTTGCTTTCCCAAAGCAGGGATAAATGTAGAAAATAACTTACTGCCCGGCGCCCGGAACTGCATGTTCCGGGCGTCGGGAGATTCAACATTGCCGCCGTCCCTCCGCTCCCTGCCGCCCCAAGGGGAATCTCCTGCCTTGTGGGGAATCCAGGCCTGTGTATGAATGCTTTCGTTACATTGGCGGTCATTGTGAATACTTTTGTTACATTGGCGGTCATTGTGAATACTTTCGTTACATTGGCGGTCATTGTGAATACTTTCGTTACATTGGCGGTCATTGTGAATACTTTCGTTATATTGGCGATCATTGTGAATACTTTCGTTACATTGGGGGTCATTGTGAATACTTTCGTTACATTGGCGGTCAGTGTGAAAACTAATTGGTTTGACCTGTGACATGGATATCGCAGATCTCCTATTAGTTATGGAGGGTACCAGGGGGCGGAAAAATGCACTTTCGCCTGAGTAGGCAAAAATCCTTGCACCAGCCCTGCTCAGCAGTGACAAGCAAGGGAGGGACAGGGATGCTCCTCCCTGTCTCCTACCTTCCTCCTCCCTCCCTCAAACTAGCTTGGTGACCGGGTTGGGGGGGCTTCGGTTAGCTGGGAACGGGGCTTCGGCAGGCTGGGGGCAGGGCTGTGCGTGCTGGGGAATACATGTTTGTATTTTCTTATGCCTAATAAAAATTGACATGCTAAAAAAAAAAAATCCGAATGGATCAGAAACAAAACAAAACATTTTTTTTGCGGGGCTGTGTGTCATGATCATTTCACAGGCTACATTGAAAGCCATGCTGTTATACTTTCTAGCACATGCTTGAATCTAAATGGCTACAATATGCAACATATGTTATATATATATCTTCCACCAAGATGTTTTCATACATGAAGCCAATCATTTGGAAACTTTTGGACCTTCCTTAGGTAGCAGAAATCAAATACTGGAAAAAGTGTTTTCTTCAGCAAACATTTACTGAAAGGTCACCTCGTACAAAAAAAGAGTAATAGTTTTGACCTTCCTTCGAACTGCCAAAGAGAGTTTCAATTAAGACCTTCCAGCTTTCAATACCTGGATGTACAACTCAACTCTCTGAGACCTGAGGAGTAAATCATGTTTTCTAGAATGGCATAAATGGTACTTTGATCAGGTCAAAATTAGATTCTAACCTGTTGCATTTTGAGTAGGAACACATCAATATAGTCTCGTGGTGAGGAGGAGTCCAAAGTCTCCTCATGTTCTCTTACTATCTCCTCCGCATAGTCCAGCTGTGCTTGGTAATTTTCGGCAAGCTTATGGTGAGGTCCTGGCAGATATTTCAGGATGGAAGGTATGAAATTGTACACCTGTGGTGAGACATTAATGTAGTGCTTGGTTTCTGTTGAGCAGGAAGGAGAACAGACATGGAAATAAAAAAAAAAGTAAAATACAGGAAATTTAGCATAGTTCCAGAAGGTGGGAGGAAGACAGCATGGAATGCATAGAATGATAAATACATCCTGCTACACATTCCACTGCTGTAAACAATGGAATTATTTACTAAGGGGTCAGTTCACACCTGCAGATTTGCCTGTAGAATACCATACAGTAACAGTTTGTTCAATAATGTGCATTAAAGTGCCCATATATTTAATATTCTGTTCTTGCTACATGTGTAGAAGTCCTTCTATATCCCAAATGTTTGCAGCTGTTCACAATAGCATAGTATTGTGTTAGAATTACAAAATGCATATCAATCCGCGTTAAACATATGCAATCATGTGCATGAGTACTTGTGAAACCCATGTGTGAACTGGCCCGTTAAAGAAGCACAGGCTGGAATAAAAAGCAGAGCTATGCATGAAATTCAGTGCACATCCTCCAGGTCGCAGTCAGGCAGTATGGAATGTATACAACAATAAATATTCTGCTACTGTATTCAGACATAGCAGCCAAGAGGAAGCTCTTGAACAAAAAAGGACATTACATTATGCGTTACACAGGCTGATGTCATTTTCTTTTCCCATTCATTTAGCTCATATACCTGAGCTATATCATTAGTGCTTGTTTCAATATTACCTTAAATAAAAGATAATAATTATATTTAAGGAAACAGCTGTTCTATACGTTAGACAAACCCTTGCTACCATAATTAAAAGGCACATCTATCCATGCATTAGCCGAGTTGGAAAACATGGTGGCAGGTCTTGGTGTTCCTGTGATTCCATTGAGCAATCACAAGCTGATGTTCTACTTGAGATATCGGCCTGTCTCTGGTCAAGTTGAGGGTTACCAGGATTTTTGGACAGTAACATAAAATTTACCTGAACCCAGATATTATCCACCCGCCGGAGATTCTCAGCTACCAGGTCCAGCAGTGTCTGCAGCTTTGGATCTGTATACTCAAACCGTTTCCCAAAGAGGACTGAACAAATGACATTAGAGACTGATCGACGAATAAAGAATGTTGGATCAAAGACTGAACCTAAAAAACACACAACTAGAATGAAGATCATAGCTAACACTTGAACTACCAAAAATATATCATAAACAATGGGTAGCTTATCAGGAAAGGGGACTATTCAAATGTGCAATAAGGCAATGAGCTAATCTATCCACATAAGTCAGCATTGTGAAGAATCAGACATTTTTGGCTTTAGTCATTAGTCATTTACAGCTTGGGTAATTATTCAGATCACTGGATAAAAAAAAGCTCCACCTTATGATTAGCAATAGCCAAAGCATTGGCTGGCTTCAAAACACTAAAAAAAATAATTAGTTTAGTTAAATATGAGCGATGTGAAGCTTCAAAGTTTTGAAGATCCAACATCAAATTTTTCTCTTTGCCCATGCTGTTGGTCCTGCTTGCATGTTACAAAAGTTATTTTTCAAAATAGTTAATCTGCAATGAGAAAACAAAGCCACAAAGAGAAGGGGACAGAGGAAGATGAGGGGATTTTGAATCTCCGCAGTGCTAGTATGTTAGTAACATTTTACGGTGTTGTGGGCCTTACTTGCCATGAATATTGGCATGGGTATCATGGGGCATCCAGGAAAAAAATGGCTTCTGCTTTATTCATTATGAACAATCAAGATGTCTGGGGCATCCAGGAAAGAATGGCTTCTGCTTTATTCATTATGAACAATCAAGATGTCTGGGGCATCCAGGAAAGAATGGCTTCTGCTTTATTCATTATGAACAATCAAGATGTCTGGGGCATCCAGGAAAGAATGGCTTCTGCTTTATTCATTATGAACAATCAATATTTCTGCTATTATACCATATTACTATCACATCATGCCTACCTATTGACCAGTTTCTCAATTATGATAATGTGATCTGTATTTTTAAATTATTTGTGAATAATAAATTATTATTTTTTACATAATACCATGAGAGCATAAGAGTTTTTTTTAAAGCCCCCCCCCCTCCCCTTTCAGGCCCCTGCATACCTGAAAGTGGTATTTATTTATACAAAGCTACACACAAATGCCTAACATTTGTTATTGTTTTGGGAAGGACTGCATTGTCTATGGCATTCACACTGCAGTGCCACTTCTGCCTGCATGTCATGGGCAGTTCAGAGCTGAGGGAGGCTCCCCTTAGCTTCTCCTTGGCTCTGGTCACATGACACAGCTGAGAGGAGGAGTTCCACCTTTCCCGGCCCCTGCATTCTGTGTGTTATGTACTACTGAGGGAAAGGGGTTTTTGCTGGGGGGAATTGGCTGTTTTAAGGGGGTGAGTTGTGATGGGGGGGGGGTCTGTACTGGGAAAGGGGTACTGTGCTAAGGGTGGGGGGATTTAGGGCTGTGAGGGAGCTTTGTACTGGGAGGGATTTAGGGCTGTGGGGGAAGAGCTGTACTGGCGGGGGGTTCAACTCGAAGGAGGGGGTAATTTATGGTTGTGGTCTGTATACTGGCCTTAGTGTTAGGTTAGTGGCTCAAGTTTTATTAAACCATGCCCCTTTGAGCCCCTCCAACTGGTATTTCCAGGTACAGTATTTTACAATCCTAGCAATGCGCATGTATATTGATTAATCCTCTGTAACACCAATGGTTATCTTGGGCAGGGAATTTAAGAAATATCCAGACTTTACCTTTGCATCTCACCAAGGAGGGCTGGAAAGACTTGAGGGTGGTACAGGTTGCAGACAATTGTAATCAGGCAATCAGGCAGAAGGTCAAGGAAGATGCAGGATAAACAAAAGGAACTAAGATCCAAGCATTGGATTTCAGTCATGTTTTTTCATTTATTATCATTATTGTAACCAGTTTAATTTCTTTGCCTATTATATTTTAAGGAAACCCAATTGCCCTGTCACTACAAAAGAGAACATGTTCACCAGCCTTACTGGCTGTGACAGTAGGTACCCACAAATGAGTAGGTAATCAGGAGAGAAGGCATCCAGCCAAAACCCACTAAAAATTCTAATTTGATATAAAAATTATATGGATTACACCTTGCTTGTCATTCTGTAATATAGCAATATTCATTTCAATCTCTTTCAGGCCACTAGGTCTTATACATTTCTCTGACATGGGGGGAATCTGCTGTTTTCTACAAGCAACAGAGACCCCTTTATCTGATTAGGTAAAATAGGGCCACATTTTCAAGGACACCTTACAGGCTCATATAGCATCTCCTCTTCCTATGATCAGCAAGTTTGTGAGCTGACTGACTGATTTTTACTCATCGGCATGTTTATGTGGTCCTTAACCAACTATTTCAATTCCAGCAGATAACACCTAACTGGATCACCCATAACTCCTACAGACTGAGGTTCCTACAGCCAAGTCATGGGTCTTAAAGAAATAAAAGTGTAATTATGACTAAGAGTCATGCAGTATATATAAAGCAATGGATATGACATTCAACAAAAGTTCACTATAGGTAAATCTTCCACAGGCATGTGTTTTAAATGACAGTGATTGATCTATTACCAGCGAATACTTGGTAAAAGTCACCTTTACTGATTTATAAATATGCCCCTAAGTGTAAATCACCAGGCACAGCTTAGTACACATTGCTGTCTACTCACCTTTGGATTCCTGGAAATACTCCAAAAGATGCTGGACTTCTTCCTGTATACGTTCTTCAATGCTTCTTTTACCCATTCCAAAGTTGCGTAAGGTAGTCAAAGAGAACCGCCTTAGCTCCTTCCAGCGTTCACCATTGCTAAAGGCAAGTCCTAGCACACAGGAAAAAAAAAATCCGGTCCCAGAGTTTATATCTAAATAATCATTTTCTTAAACAACTTCAGAAAACAGAGATAGACAACCTAGTACCCGGTATCTTGTCACTTATACCTGGCCCACTAAAATAAAATAAGTGTACGACCCTGTAGGAAAAAGTGCTATTCAATTTAGTGTTTTCAGACTGTATGCAGTCTGATGCTGATTTGTAGTTTAGGTTCATTTGGTTTCCCCTAATCAATCTCATAATTTGCAACTGTCTGCTGCTAGGTGTACTGCTGGGTGTACCCTGGTCACAGAACAGAGCAACCAATGAGTGATTGCTATGAGTGGATATCCCTCTCCAGCCAATTACTGTAAGACAATGGCCAGTGGTGCATGCTGGGGGAGGAGATAAATACTTGGGATGGACTATGTGAGCTCTCTCTTAATCCCCCGGGCCCTGCCTGTGGGGAGGCTGCTATGGACTGTCCGAGATGGCTAGGTCTGAAGCCTTAGGACTAACAGTGTGATTACACTGGAGCCTGAGGCTGGAGGCCCAGTGACTCTTACAGATGACCAGGATGAACATGACTAGAAACTTCTACCTCAAGTATTGCTGTCAGGTACTCTACTTGCTGTGCATGGAAACAATAACCACACTCTGCAATGTAATGGAACCTACATCTGCTTGGATGATCCTAACCCTCTACCTCTCTCTCTGAAGTTCTGTGATAAAAGCTCTTAGCATCATATCTACAGTCTGGACATCACTTCAATTGATCACCACAAAGGGCGGTAAGTGCTGATGTGTAAAGTGAGTGAAATTACCCTAGACACAAAGATTTTGGATTTTCGGTAACCCATAGCAAACAACCCTAGATCTCAAGGTGTGCTGGGTGTGCTGTGGATCCATAATAGAGGTTTCTTATAGAGGAAAACACAAGGAGACACATTCGTTCTTTTACTGTAGATCACCCCTTTGGAGCCAATGGTCGTGTTATCCTGCACTGGGGTATCACTGACCAAGAAAGTGGGACGCTACATAAGCAACAAGTGATTTGAAATGAAGATTTATTTTTATTATCTTGTTATTGTTTATTTTGTATATACTGTATGTGTGTAAAAGAGAACAGCTTATTGTAAATAATCTCAATAATGTTTGTAAATGAATACAAAACTGATTTCTACCCATGGGCATGACCACAAATCACATGGCCCCATAACAAAATGTTTATGGGGCCCCCTAGAAACCTATCTCTGAGTTACCAAGCATTTTTTGCTGGTGGACATTAGATTACATTGCATCCTTAATACCATCACCTTTCACCATTGCTATGCTACACTTCTGATAACAGCGCTCTTTACACTGGCAAGCAATAAATATTCCCTTCATTTTCATTTGTAATTTTCACAGAAAAATCCCTTTAGTACATTGATGGGCACTGAAATGTGACTCGGTGTATATTGATGGCCATGGCAAAGGTCCCTATTATGCTTTTGTAGACAGTGCAATCAATGCCATCCTATAAATTGGTAGCCAATGCAAACACTTACTTTGCCTACATTAGTGGCCAGTGCAAATAAAGGAAAACATGCCCTAACTTTAGTGGTCATCATGGTATTGATCTATAATGCAATACCTAATGGAGCAGTGTCTAAGCTCAAGGTACCCACTGGCACCTTTCAGCCCTGGTAGTGGACACACACAAACACACACACACACACACACACACACACACACACACACAGACAGACAGACACACACACACTGAAAGCCCACTCCAATCAGCAAACTGCACCTCCCCAGGCCCCATAGCAGCTACATGGCCACTGTTGCTATATATAATTTGTAATTATGCATTTACACGGAGGCAGCCATATTTGCTCATTACCCTAGACAGGCTCTACGTTTCCTCTTATCTCATGGAAAGTTTACAAAACAAAAGATTCTCGGCAGTCTCATATGTTTACCCACAGTGCCACAGACCATTAGATCTTTGCTTGGACTTTGGGTCATATGACACCCCAGCTACTCAGCAGCAAGAGTTTATTCATGACAACAAACAGTAACTTTTTAATGCAAAATAATAATTTCAATGGATAATGCTGACATGTACCCTAACGATTCTAGTTGAATTTTAATGACACACCTACTTTAAAGGGGTTACACCTTAAAAAAGGCATAAGCATGAATATGGTATTCATTTAAATATTGCTTATCACACAATGTAATTGACAGAAAGCACAGCATAATGATTGCCTTGGAAAAGAACTGACCATATCCCTTGCTGGTCAGATCTAAAATTGGGACCTCTGCTCTGCCACTGAATTTCTCTGCGTTGTCAACTAGAGCTTCCTTCACAGCCTTGTATCCGACCAGCACCACTGCAGGCTGCGGCCCGATGTACAACGTGTAGACAGGTCCATACTTCTTACTTAGCTGGAAGAGGGAAAACATTAGTTACACATTCATTTACCATGCCAGTTTTCAGAATGTTATATTGTGCCATCTTTAAAATATGCCAAATTTTGATGTCTACAATTAATCAGCATTCTAGTTCTCAACCTAATTCAAAAATCTTATAGACTTTTTCACCCAAAAGCCATCACTTAAGAATGTCTGATGAGGATTGAGGATGCCCACACATATGGCTATTGTCTCATTGTTGATTGAAAGTAATTGTTGGTCAAATAGCGCTGAGAGTAAGCCCAATCCTTCACTCTAATATGTAGAGGAGTGATGGCGCCTAGTAAAGAGCATTTGCCGGGTAAGGAGCATTTTGGTGGGTCCCGATGCACCAGTAATGTCAAGAGGGGGTGGAGGCACAATACTGCAACTGTAATCTCTAATAGACACTTTTCAGTTGTGGCAAAGTGCAAAGTACAGCTCTCAATGAATGCTCCGGCAGCAGCTGAGCATAGAAAAACCTAATAAAATAAGAGAACTCTTAGCTCATTTTAAGTCATAGAAAATACAGTAAATTTCCGTTTAAAAAAAATTTGTCTGTCTGTGGATCCCACAGTGCCACAGTGTCTGGGATTGGCCTTTAGAATTGGGCAACAATCATATTGTTTGCAATCATGTCCAAGAACCTGAACAGTTGCCTTTATATAAGTCTCCAAATTAAAGATACAACGGTGAAGCTTTGTAGGTAGGTTTGAAGTGTTTTTGATTTTACAATCAAGATAAGATCACTAGTTTATCAGTCATCACTTTGCCAATTAATCCTACACAGTGTTGGTATGTTCATTCATAAGAGGTCATTTGCAGGGATAATTAGATCTTGTGACATTGACAAAAGCCATCTCTGAGGCTGTGTGGAAATCATATAACTCTAGGTGATAAATGTTGCTAAGCTTTCTGTGTAGCAGAGCAATAAAAACATCATGTCAGTGATATATTTAATTTATTTGTTAGTTTCTGTATTACATATCTGCAGTTATCTAATCAGGTGTAGTTATATATTTAGCAGTAAATATTTTTTTCTAAGACTATCTTTAGAAGAGTTCTATTTTTAGATTGCTGGTAGACAAGCCTGTTCTAGTCCTCTCCTGAGGGCATCTATTATATGAGAAAATATGTGAATAATGTTACTGGAATCTAAACAAAGCAAGCCAGCAAGTCAGTTTCAAAGATGGAATTATAATAATGGATACCTAGTATGCTATTTAAAAAGTAAAAACAGCATTAAAGATACCCTCAGACCTATGACACACTCGGGCAATACAACCACCCTTAGGTTCTAGAACTGGGCAATACAATCACAAATCTAAACATTTAGCTCAGCCAAATTATGTGACTAGATACATAAAGGGAAAGGGGTGGATCAGGCACCATGTGTCCCAGGAAGGAATAAAAGTGATATGGACCATCTTTTAACTTGCCCTATCAATATTCTTTATAACAGTGATTGGTTGGCATCTGCATATCACATACATGAACCTTATTTGTGCATCACTCAGCTATAAATTCTTAAATAATTTCTGAATTGGTGCCGACACTGTCCTTCCTTCTGGGGGGTGGCTACTTTTGTTCCCCATGGACCCTGTGTGTGCTGTAAAGTAGCCACCATTCCAAGCTCGCTCCTGTGATGGACTACAATCTTACGTTTAGTTAACTAATTTGTGTTGAGATTGTAGTCTATTACATGAGTGAGCTTGGAGTGGTGACTACTTTACAGCGCACACACAGGGACCATGGGAAACAAAAGTAGCCACCCCCCAGTGTCAGCACCAATTCAGTGTCGACAGTGTCAGCACCAATTCAGAGATGATCTGAGGATCTACAGCCGAGTGATACACAAATAAGATACATATTTGTTAGGGCTGGTAATGAGTAAAATTTTCCTGTTCGATTGATCGAATTTTTTTTAAAATCGATTAATCGACTAATTTCGATTAATTATAACGCACATACAGATCCCACTACTTTTAGGTAATAGGGCGCATTCTGATATCAATGTATTCTAATATTAATATAGATAACGTTCTGACCAAAAAAGTCAGAACCCAGTTAAAGTCAGCCAACAAGCTTTTTTAGAAGGAGCCCCATCGATAGCGCCCCTCCCACCAAACGTCCCCGGAACATGACCAAAATAGGAACAGAAACTGGTCAACTCCAAGTGCATTTAAATGAACAACCTTTAGTCCAGTTATGCATTAATGAAATGTAATTTACAATACTGCTTTAGTAAATGGCTGAATGCATACACAGAGCTGTCAATTCGGAAATTTTTAGTGCAGTGTAAGTGGCAGGCAGAAGTCTTTAGGCAGCTTGCTGGCAGAGAAAAACTAAGCAGCACCTTACTATTGAGAAAATCATTCATAAACCAAGAATTAGACAGATGATGCAGGAAGTAGCAATAGTAGGGACACCTATCTGGCTGTTCTGTGTGGTAGGGTTGTGTGAAGCACCAGAGTGAGCGAAGTACACATGGCAGGTAAAACAAATATGGTAAGTCTTGATATGAGTTTCAGCTAAATATTCCGCCGCTGGCATTCTACCTTTAGGTGATAAATGTCAGTGCTGGGACAAGGTCATTCAGTGCCCAGGAAGTGGATGCCAAGCTGCCCCCCCTTCCCCTATGGCATAACAAATAGCTGCTCTGCAGCATGGGCCAAAATGGTGCAAATGATTATAGCACACTGCAGCAAAATTAAAGAGTTTAATAGCCATGCACATAGTGGACCCCAGTAAAATAGGGGGCTAACCGTAGAGAAGACATGCCCCAGTATCAGTTTAAAGAAGTGAGAAGTTGACCAGAGCAGGTGGAACAGAATTAAATGAAGCATGGAACTTTGTGATCTACCGCTTAGTATGAACCATGAGACTCACCGACCCAAGTGATTCCGCCAGGTAACGAAGGGAAGGCGGAGGAGTCCGGTGACGTCACGGACATCGACGTCAACGGACTCCTCCCTCCTTCCCTTCGTTACCCATCACGGACAACTACATCACCCGACTCCTCCCCCCTTCCCTTCGTTAGCCGACAGAGCCACTCGGGGAGGGGGGGAGGAGTCCGGTGACGTCACGGAAGACTCCTCCGACGGAAGACCCGGAAGCCGGCGGAGAGGTGAGTTCCTTGATCGATCAAAATAATTTTGATCGATCAAAGAAATTAACGATTAATCGACGGATTAATCGTTAATTTCCGCACCCCTAATATTTGTTAATAGATAAAGGTACTTCAATGCATTTTTAAGGTTTAACTCGAGTGTCACTTTAACTATTAACAATACTGTACCTTATCTTTGCATAACTCTGCTGTAGATCCTCATATCCTGTCTGAATTAATGTTGACACGGTCCTTCCTTCTGGAGGGTGGCTACTTTTGTTCCCCATGGTCCTTGTGTGTTTTGTAAAGTAGCTGCTTTTTAACTGCTCTAAACTTACTCCCATGATGGACTACAATCTCACGTTTAGTTTACTACTTTGTATTGAGATTGTAGTCCATTTTGGGAGTGAGCTTGGAGCGGTGGCTACTTTACAACACGCACAGGAACCATGGGGAACAAAAGTAGCCCCCCTCCAGAAGGAAGGACAGTGTCAGCACCAATTAAGAGATGATTTGAGGATCGACAGTCAAGTAATACACAAATAAGATACATTTTTGTTAATAGTTTAGGTACTTTCATGCATTTTTAAAATGTAACTCCTGACTTTACTGTCACTTTGAAAGCAGCAGCTCCTTCATGTCTACAAGTGGCCAGAGTCACACACTATTCTGTACTTCGTCACATTTTATCTGTGCAAAATCTGCTACCCAGGACCCATATTTTAATAAGCTTGCAGTATACATAAAAACGAGCAAAGTATGCGTGCAGTGCGTATATTTACCTATTATATTCCGACTGTCGTTTTTTATATTTTTTTTCTTCCTCAAACAAGTCAGCCCCAGTGTATTAAATCAGGAACTGCACGCGTCATGTTTCTTATTAACCAATCAGGCTTCACAATACTGGTCATAACTCACCTCCAGTATAGGCTTGTGTGTCTCTCTGCTCTTTAGATGTAGAAGGTTCCCCAGGATAGGTAGAGGTGTTGGGCCTGGAGGGAGGTTACCTCGCCTACCAAATACCTTCTTGAAAAGGAGCAGTAGCAGTACAGCTATAAGGAGGTACAGGGTCCACGCCATTCCTCTGTGTTCACATACAACACACTGACAGGCAGGGCTGTGCACTCAGGATGTATATATAAAGCAGACAAGGATCAGAGCATTTAGTAATCTGGAGGGTACAAAGACTATTTCCTATAAGCTGTCACACCATCTATTAACCTCCTATTGTCCGCCAGAGTGCTGTATATCCATTTCTGTGTTATCTGATCTGTTACTATATGACAGCTTGTTATTGTGTGAATGTGTTTTGTATATAGTAGTATCTTATGTCTGCAGTTCTACCCTCTGATATTTGTTCTCTCTATATGACTTCTTCCGGTTACTGTAACCATTTCCTTCTTCTGTACGGAAAGGCACTGGGGCCAAGAGAAAAAAAAAATTTCAGATAGTATCTTATATAATCTTATAATTATAGTATTATAGTATCTCATTATTCTAGGGTAGTACAATGTCTGTGTAATTTATCTCAGAATTCCATGATAGTATCTCGGAATTTAGTGTTATGTCACAATGCTGCGTTATTATCTCTAAATGCTGACACATTATCGCTGTATAATGGTATTGCTGGAATTTGTAGTCCTCTATAGCTGGTAGTATTGTCAGAACTATTGGGCAGAAAGGAATCAATTTCAAAGGCCTATACATATCATTTTACAGAATTGTATATGGGCATTGTGGTAGCCATTTTGTCTGCTTGATAGAAGGTCAATGCGAGTTTATTCTTTCTGAGACTAAAGGTGGCCATACACTGTACAACCATCGCAAGACCTTAGTCTTGCGATGGTTGTAAAGGGATTAAAAAAACGTACGATCTTGGACGGGCAGATCGCACTCTCGATCATCTCAAGCCACGCCCCCTGAGGGGCGGGCTTGCGATGACTGTAATGAGGGGTGAGCTTACGCTGACTGCAAACGTGCAGTGTGCGCGTGCGCACACCGGCCCGTTCGGCAGTTGTCGAACCAGCAGGCCACCAACTCGCCGGGAATCGTACTTTCAAACATGCTGGTTCGATGGAAGACGTGCGACCGTACAGTAGAAACGGTCGCATGCCTTCCATACACTGCACGATTCTCGTACGATCGCGGGATTTCCCGCGATTCTCGTATGAGAATCGTGCAGTGTATGGACACCTTAAGACTCTCACAGCATAGTTAGGAATTTTAGCATAAACATTCTCAGATCGTAAATTGTGGGGGTCTCAAGACGCGCATAAGATAAGCATGGTGCCAGCCTATGTAGGTTAAGATTGATGACTTTCATGCCTCTATTGAGGACAATGGACAAGAGACCGGAATGTTTTAAAGATTTTTTTTTTCTTCTCTCAATGAATAGAAGATGGGGCTTATTTAAAAGTTGCCTGATGAAACCTTACTATTCATTGCAGTGATAATATTAGCAATAATGTTGTTATATTATTATATTATATGCAGCATCTATGTGCCTATTTTATTGACTAATTTCAAGTAAATGTTATACATGTACTTTTATAATATCCAAACTATATTCATTTATATATTGTTTGAGTGTACCCATTGATATATAGTAGTATGTATTATTAATATGGGGGTTTTATATGTATGTAGCAACAGCTTCTATGCTGTGTGCTCAGTCTGCTGTGGCAACAACTCCTAAAATGGATGTGCAGCCCCCGTCTCCTGTGAAAATTACTTCCAGTGTTCAGTCTCAGTCCCCCATGGCAACTGCTCCTAAGGTGAGTTCTCACTCACAAACTCTTTCAGCAACTAGTTCTAAGCAGAAAGTGCAATTACCGTCTCCTGTGGCAACAGCTTCCAGTGTTAGTGCTCAGTCTTCCGTGGCAACTGCCTCTAGGCTGAGCTTACCATTGCAATCTCCCATGGAGTTAGCACTTATCCCAAGTTTACACTCTCTATCACCTATGGTATCAGCCTTAAAGCAAGATGTGCAAACTCCATTTCCCACAGCAACAGCTTCTAAGCTGAATGCTCAGTCTCAACCTTTTGTGACAACAGTCTCTAATCTAAGTGTATCTTTATCTCCCTTGGCAACAGGTTCCAAGCTCACATCACAATATCAATCTCCCATAGCAACTGCTTCTTTAGTTTCATCTGTTCCAATCGGTGTCCAGACCAGTTCTTCTGTTCCTCTTTCTTAGTGTCAGGAGGAAAGTAATGACCCCGAGGACTAGACTGACTGTTCTGATGATGAAGCAGATATGGAAACGAACCCTGATGCCTGGACTGACTGTCCAAAGATGAGGATGAAGATGATCATCTCAATTTCTCCAGTACCTGGTATCCAAGGCCCAGGAAATGTTCCTCGCCTAAAATTTCCAGTCCTAAAACTTCCAGTCCTAAAACCCTACAGTCAGTTTCTGATAACTCAGTTTAAGTAGCTTCTGCCATAAACGTGTTTTCTTAGGTTCTGCATCCTAAAGCTGCTTCTAAAGCTCAACACCCCATGTCTGCCGCTGCAGCTCAGTACTCCGAGCCTGCCTCTGAGGCTCAGTCCCTCAAGTCTGCCTGTACAGCTCAGCACCCCAAGGTTGCCTCTAACCCTCAGCACCCCAAGGTTGCCTCTAACCCTCAGCACCCCAAGTTTGTCTCTGCAGCTCAGTACTCCAAGCCTGCCTCTGAGGCTCAGTCCCTCAACTCTGACTCTGCAGCTCAGCACCCCAAGGTTGCCTCTAAACCTCAACACCCCATGTCTGCCTCTGCAGCTAAGCACCCCAATGTTGCCCCTGAGGCTCAGTCCCTCAAGTCTCCATCTGTAGCTCAGTACCCCAAATCTGACTCATCTAAAGTTAACTATATGACAGCCACTTCGGTACCTGACTCAGTCTCTTCTTTGTTGGAGACGCACTCAGTTCAATGCGTTTCCAAGTCTTCACTATTCAAGCCAGAGAGTTTGCCTGCGTTATGTTCCCCAGTGACTTCACCAACGCAATTCTCATCAATACAATTTTCAGTGCCATGCTCTCCTGTGACCTTGCCAGCACCCTCTACTAAGCTTATACAGTCCTCTCTTGAGACTTTGCCTATGTCGCTGCCCCTGGAGAAGACCTCCTGTGTCAGTTTCCCCTGAGACCTTACTCATGTCTGGTGCTCCGGACACTCTGGCTGTGGATGCCATTCAAGAAGAAGTCAACCAGAACTGCTCTCAAGATCGGAATCAGTCACACTGGGCAGCTGCCAGGCACAAGAAACCTGCTGACCAACCTTCTGAAAAAGTTTTAAGTTCTCTGTTCAGAAACAAGAACAGTGGGTCCCTAAGAATGCTCAGCTCAAAACTCCATGCTATGTTGGTCCTCCTGCATGCCCAGTTTCTGGCACACAAATTTCTCCTTTTGGAAGAAGACTCCTTCCTTACTCTCTGGGGGAGCCTGGACCCCCATGGCCCGGAGGGCCCCATAAGAGGGGAGGTACTGTCACAATATCCAGAAATCCGTGCCAGATTTTTGCTTTGCTCCCTGGTTCTGGGCTGTCAGCCTATGGTGTCTCACAAGGCTGCAGCCAATCTGCTCTCCTCCTCCCCTATTTAGGACTTCCTCACTTGTTGTTCTTGGTGCGAGCAACAATTCTTATGCCTTGTTCTGTACCCCTTGTGGCTCTAACTATCCCTGGGATCGTATTCCCTGCGCTTGCTATTGGATCCTCGTGCCTTTGTACCAGCTGGTATCCCTGTTGGCGTTATCCCCTGCTTTGCTCCTTGTGCCCCTACTATAGTATTTCAGTGTTTACCTTTAGTATATTGCTGCAGACCTTAATTGCTTTCACCTGTGTGCTGTGAGTCTCTCTATACTGCCTTCTTTGCCTCACTTCTACTGTTTTTTCCCTCTCCAGCCTTTGTGTGTTGCTTCCTCCTATTTACTTGCTTTCTTGTACTTCAGTACCTTCCAGTGTATCTTCCTATGCTTTGCTGTCACCCCTTTACTTCTGTGCTCCTCTCTTACCTTGTGGCTGTGTTGGATTCGTCCTTGTCTGCACATCCCGTGTGCATACATCCCTTTGTGCTTCTTTATGTACTTTCCTCTCTGTTATACTGCTTCTTAGTATGCATGTGCAAAGCACATCTCCTGCTTACTTTTGTACGTTACACCTTCCTGCTCCTAGGTGTGCCTCTAAGCTACTTACCCTTCCCTACTGTCCTTGTTTAGCTACCCTCTTCAGTATACTCTGCTGTTCTGCTGTGCGTTTTGCACCGTTTGCTTGTGACTTTCTCTTTCTCTCATTGTGTGCCACTGTTACTAGCTTCCTCCTCTTGGTTAAAAGTTTCTTCCCTACCTGTTGTTTGTATCCAGTTCCCCGGTGCTTCGACTAGTCCTTTGCGTCTGTGTGGGTGCGCTAGAGGGCCGTAACCTGGAAGGTGTCCAGCAGCCAATCATCCTCACCACTAGAGGCTCTGTCGAATACCTGGCCCTTCTTAGATTCTGCGCCTCTAGTGCGTCCTGAGACGCACAGACCATTAGTTCCTCTCTCTCTTTGACCAACATCCCAGATATCCCTCCTGTCTGTGACTACTACCAACTCCTCAAACCCCGGAACTCACATACCCTAGTGCCCCGGTCCCCAGACCGTGACAGACAAACTCACCAGAGATTGGCCAGCTAACAAAGCAGCCAGATCTTTCTATATCACAGCTCTGTCAAGGCACTTTGGAGTGTAATCCATGGTTTATGGCAGGTAGTGTAACACAAAGAACCCTTGAAAACCTAAAAGAAGCCTTTGTAAAACAGCAAAACATTTTAAATAAATATTGCATTGAAAATAAACACTGCAATAATATTGTTATCATTTGAAATTTATTGACAGGTGTGTTTGGCCTGCATTTGATGTTCTTCTGACCTGCTTCAAGTTGATTTGCATTTCCATAGATTTGTATAAGAATACAAAACCTGCTTCGTGCGAACAAAAGCCCTTTGATACAGGCCCTTACTGTGCCAAATTAGCCAGTGATGTGCAGTGAGGTCTGTGCTAGGTGAGGCATTTCCCCCTGCACGCCCCCACATTTACCAACAACTGCTTAATAAGACCACCTATTTGCTTAGATATAATGTAAATGGATTGATCAGATAACTGTGATCTAGTGTCTGTATGTAGCTCTAGTTTCTTATTAACTTTTGTTAATACATTGTTTGATTTTAATGTTGTCTTTATTTTTCATATTTTTTAAGAATTGGTATGCATTTTTAACCCTTAAGTTATGCAGTGGTAAAATATCAGGAGGTAGTATCCTTCCCCAAGCACCCTCACCAAAAGCCTTTTAAAAGAGACACAAGTAAAATAAAGTATAATTATATATTTATTTTATTGTGCTTCTTACAATTTTCATGATGTCACTCAGTTTATATAAATAGGACAAACATTTTTTAATTTAGTTTATAGTGACAATATAAAAAAGTAAACTTTAGCTTGAACTGTTAAATAATCAAGTGTTAGTGCGGGGAATGGCACACATTTTGTAGGGGCGAGGTAGGTGTCCAGCACTGCTGACCTCGGGGGTTAGGTCCAGATCTTTTCGCGGCACTGTCGTGGTCAAGGTGAACGTCTGCAGGAGAGTGGTGATGAACAGAAAGAGCTCCATGCGAGCTAGGCTTTCTCCTGGGCAAATCCTCCTTCCTGCAGTGGAAAAGACACCATGTTAAAGTGGGTGATGACACAACAAAATGTATTTGGACAGAATACAAGTATTTTTTAGTTGTACCTAATATATTTGTGTTCAACCAGGACTGAGGCATGATGCCACTAATAGGCAGCCTATAAATTGACCTTAAACATCTAAAAGAAAAAGGTCTCCCAGCAAAGAAAATAATTATTTACTGGTCATGCTATGATGGCTGAAGAATCTTTAGGATCTGACACACTTCAGTGTGTGCCCTCTAGATGGGGAGTCTCAGCGAACTGGATATTCTTCACCTTGTTGATTAAACATTTGTTGTTGTTGGTGGACTCCGGTGTGCGGCTTCTCTCTTTGGACACTTCAGAGTAGGTCAGGTGCCTGGTCCACCATGGTGCCTAGTGGTTCTATATGCCAACCCCTACATAACTACAGGATATATAATCCTATGTTAGCCCCAACCCTCTCACCTCCAGCACCTATCATTAAGTAAACCAGCAAGCCTGCTAATCACAGTATAGGCCCAATTTGGGGGTGTTCGAGGCAGAATAGGACCAGCTTTAGGTTAAACCAGGAAGTGTTGAGAAATATCTGTCAATATAGTTGGCAGAGTCAATATAATAGTTTTTATCTCAAATATTAGGTTAAGGATTTGGTTATGGGTTACATTGATTTTAAATGTTACCTTTAGGAAAAATTCAGGTTAATGGAAACCTAAGAAAATCATTGAGGCTGCGAGTGTTTACTTCAGAGTTGGTAACTCTTCTTAAGGTTGAATGGAAATTGTGATGCGCCAAAGGCCTAAAATGTAAGATTTTAAGAGTAGGCAATCCAGTGTTGAGAAGGTTGAATAGCTAAGATTTAGGACAGGTGGGTATTAAAACTAGAGGGAGGACGAGGACAATTGCATTTTGAAGAAATCTGTGATCCAATGTGATGTTAAACTGATCTCTGGAGTACAGAGAAGGAAGCACCAAGTGTCTGCACACATCATCAGCTTAGTTCTGGAGGGTCCATAGTTCTCTAAAACATATTACACTCAGTTATGCAGAGTCCTACCAGAGCTTTCATAGTTGTGCTTCCTATTGGTCGTAAAATACATCCTTACTGTCAAATTAGGGTGTGATGGGTGATCCAGTGCATAGTGGCAACTCTATGACACAAATTGTGACCGTGTTCTGAAAGTTAAAAAAAGCTGAACACTGAACTCTTGCAGTGACCCCCCCCCCTCCCCCAAACACGCACACACTGCAAGGGTTAAATGTTTATTAACAAATTGGGTATTGTTCCTGCCTGGAGATCCGATAAATTCTAATTCCCCTCCTAATATTTACTCAACTGCTTGTGTAGTCCTATCCCTGACCGTATTTGTGCAGAAGAAAAAAAGGGGAGGTTAACTTGTCACAAGATTTATGGCAGATGGTGTTAGGATCATATCCTGGGTATCCTCCGTGTAGTCTGTCCGTTACTGAGAACCCCAAACCCCAATTGGGAATATGACAGAGTTCCCTGGTATCAGGATCGTGCGTCCACTTGCGGCATCACGATTAGGTGTCTGATTGTTGTCTGTCTGTTGACATGTTTCGCCCCTCCTACAGACCGGGGCTTCGTCAGGACATCAATATATGAATATAGCTTCACCTAGACAGCCCGCGTTCATTAATATACGCAGGGGCAATTTCACGGAGAGATAGGTGGCAACGTGGGTAACTCACTGGCCTATTACCTCTCACGGTGGAATGAATGATAGAAGTGCATGAGGATCGATCCACATTCAATTTAACAGTGTCTCCAATTTTAATAGGTTTTAATGGTGGTATTGTCAGCAAATGTGTTATCTTGTATGTTTCTTTTTCAATAAAAATAATTTTTCACGCAACCAACTGACTTTTCCGGATCCTGAAATTGACCACTATTAACCCGCCATCTTGTGACGAGTTAACCTCCCCTTTTTTTAAATGTTTATTAAGTCTAGAGGTAAAGGAATATGCTGTAACAATTACCCTGTCCCTTGCTCTGTTAGGCTACCACCACCCTGTGTGATCAGTCCCCCATAGCCTCCTCTGCTCGGCGCTCCAGCCAGAGGTCACACCGACATCACCTAGTACAAAGCAGGACCAGGATTCCTGAATTGTACATGAGGATGGTGAGGGCCCACCCACAACCCAGAGAATCAGAGAAAACTGTTGAGTGTCTGAAGCCTGCTGGATTGAGGTAAGTAATATGTTAAGTATTACAGCTTATTCCTCTACCCCTAAAGCATTTAAACCATGCAGTGTAGGGGAAGCCACTGCAGGGGGATTTATAAAAAAAAAAAAAAGAAAGGCATACTGGATCTAGCCATAGGTACATTTTAAAATAGATTATTTTATTGATGCTTGTGGTGCAAACTAAAGTAAGCTTGGTACCTGTAGAAAAAGGCAGCAGGGCAGGGTACTTCTTTAGGTCTCCATTATCATCCAGAAACCTGTTGGGGGAGAACACATCTGGATCTGGAAACTGTTCAGGGTCCTTTAGTACGGTAGTCAGTAATGGGAACACATCTGTGCCCTGAGATTTTTTTGAGATAAAAGTAATGTTAGCAAACTATAGGCAAGGCCAAAGACACAGATAACCGATACCTCATGGTATGTAAATTACATCACTGTGTCCTAAACACATCCTCAGTGATGTCAGTTTACATACCCTAAGGTTGTGGTTGGGAGCTGCTGTCAGGGACGTAGTGGATGCAGAAGGATGGACACACACACAACAATAGAAACCATGCAGGAATTCCAACTCCTACCAGTTTAAAATAAAGACATTTCTGGCTACACATATATTCTGAATTGCTTGAGTGAAATACAGGCATTGCCATTGCTGACTTTCTTCTAACATTGCTAGCTGCTATATTTTGAGGGAAAAGTGACAGGTTCACTTCAAAGAACACGCCCTCCCCAATGATACCAACCTTTCCCTTACTCTCCAGCTGCTCTGCTTTCCATGTCGGCTAAAGATCAATCACTATGGGGTACAAATTAAATAAAACGGTTATCAAGTCAAAAGATCCAATAGTCTTGATGTTTTCATTCATGTGAACCATGGGGGGTAGTTAAACAGAACCTGAGCCTATTTGCTGTAATCACGGTGCATGCAAATGACACCATTCTCCCACCTCCAAAAAATGCCTTTATTTCTGTGTCACAAGCAAGAGTTTTACAAACATATACAGTATAAACCTTATGACCAGGCTGGCTCTGTTGTGCATGTTACGTTGGAACTATATATATGCACTGTTGGTCAATGGATCAATTCATCTTCCCTCTGATAGTGCCAAGAGGCAGACAGGCATGGTGGTAGTAGATGAATAAACGCCGCTTGCCAACAGGCATGGCGTGGTATGGGTGCACTGCTGCAGGGCAGCTGGGAAAAGTTTTTGTTGATGCTCAAGCACCCCTTGGAGCCACCCCTGTTCAAAGTGAACACTCCAATAAGTAGCTGAATTCTCACATTTTTGATACGGGATCATTGTTCTATGGAGTTGTATTGTGTGTAAAGGCTAGCTGTTGTCTGGAAGGGGGTTTTCTTTACCACAACATTACCTAACAGAACATTGCCTCTCTTCCAAAGGGTGTATTCAAAAACCAAAAGGAGATAAAGGTCAGTAGCTTTTTGCTGTACATACATATGGTTTAGATGGGTGCTTAGATTTTATTTATATGGCCTTCTCATAATTTTTACCTTAGGGATAAGGTAGCCTCGTAAATAAGCATCCTCTATTGTGCAGTGCGGCAGTCCAGTTGGGACAATATCAGCGAATCGCTGAATCTCCTGGATTACGGCCTCGGTGTAAGGCATCTTGGTTCGGTCTTCTGCTGATGGGCAACGATGACCTATCACTTGATCTATCTCGTTCTGGACCTTAACTGAACAATAAGTTTAAAATGTTATTCCACCTAGTAAAATAAATTCCACACAGTCATAAAAGTACATATAGATATGAAACAAACATTCCTCGATCTGGGCAATTTCAGCCGGTTTGCACCTGGATTCTCATGTCTCTCGGTGCCGGCAGACTAATCTAGGCAACCCCACACCAGCCAATATAGGGAAAAGTAGAGGCTGACCATTTTATTTAAACCTTGGTCAATTTAGATTGCTTCCAATGTATACTCAAGAAATCCGAGTGTTTAACTTATAAATCTCTTTAAAGATTTTAAAGCAAACACCTTTTTAAAAAAAATCTTTCCAAAATGAAGTATTTGTTGGTAGCATATATGTTCATTGTCAGAAGACTTGGTTGTTTCTGGCACCAGATATTACCCCACAAAATTTCTAGCACCAATCATTTTACCCCATCTGTTGTTAATAAAACAAACATTGCTGCAATGGAAACACTTTAATGGCAACAAGCCATGTGATAAAGGTTTTGGCACTTATTGACACCGCCCCAAAATACTGGTACCTAAAGAAATTTGAGACAGAAAATCCAGGCCAAAACCAAGTTGTTTCCATATTATTACTCTTTTTTTCCCAACACCATTTTCCTGCTTTTTTATGCAGTAAAAAGGTTTTGTGGGTTGGATATGTGTCTTCATTTCATAACCTGCAGACAGGTTTTGCGCCGTTGCATGTGGTGTGCAAACCCTGTTACCACACTTATTCTGTCCTTAAGACCTATTACAGTATAGTTGCTTATCTGTTGCTATATGTGTTCAGACTTGACAGTTTAGGTACCTATAGATAATGAATAATAGCTTCAAAGTTTAGAATGTACCTAAAGAGATTGCTGGCCAAGGGCTGTTTGGGGTGGGGAGAATAGTGATTGGTCAGGTAAGAACTGTGTGCAGTCCCCTGTTGTTTGCTACTTTATAAGCCAGGTATAGAGTTGTCAGAAGATAGCTCCACTTCCCTCTGCACAGGCTAGACCACTGGCCGTCAAATTTTAGGGTATAGAGGAGCATCAACTGTGGCCAATGAAATCATAATGTTTAGTGTAGGTAATGCTAGATATGATGCACATGCAATAGGTTTGGTTGAAGCCATGCTGCAGAGGACAGAAAGAGACTGGGTATATGTTGTTTAAGGGTTGTAAATATCACTGCTATTACCCCTTGTACCCACATCTACCAAAGGACTGCATGTGACCCTTGGGACATAGGTTGGCCATTAGGGAGCTAGACGGTATTGTCTACATCCTTACAGGTAGCCTTAGGTGGCTGAAAGAGGCAGGATGGTACCTGTATTTCCAACTGGCCTTCTGTGCCTATGGTTACTTTAAATGAAGCAATACATTGTGGATCTTTATGAAAGATTTTGTGAAAATACACTCACAACTGTTTATATCTTAGCAGTTTTCCATAGGTGTTTAACCTTGCTCTGTCTAGATGCTTGTCCATGCCACCTGCTGGATGAAATCCAGCACTGTTTCATAGTCATGCTGCAGTATTACACCTGGCCTCAATTGGTAATGTTTATTTTGGGACTAGGGCACTCAATCAGTGTGTCTGAATCCTGACCTGCAAGGCTGCTATTATGTATGTGGATCTGATTACAATTGGGCTTGTTCTTGGGATTCGTCTCTTGGTTCATCTTTGCAATCTGCTACTTCTGGTTTCCTCTGTTTACAACTTGAACTCATTTTGGTTTGATATGATTTTTGCCTACTTTCCCTGAAACTCGAGGCATACAAAAGTTCTGATGCTTCCTGGTGATAGACCAGGGCTTTGTGGCACCAGAGCCTTTATCGTAGGCGTGCAGAGCCTATTGCATTAGGGTGTGCTCACAAAGTACAAACGTGTATATATTACATATATATATATATACATATACATACATACACAGACCTGAGGCATCACCGATTCCCATCTCTTTAACTGGCCCTTACATCTTTCAGCAGGGGTGCAGTAATGAAGCAGGTAGCCTGGCATGTGGTCATGTCCCCACCTGTCTGGCTTCCTGATTGGATGGGAAGGCACTGAGGACTGGGGCTGTTAAGTGAGGAATGCAAGTGGCAAGTGCTGCTGCGTTCTGTATCCCTGAGCCGGTCACAGAAAGATCTTTGTGATCTCTCCACCCGCTCAGTGATTAAAAACACAGCGCCCGGTGTTGCACTCGGGATGTTTAGTGTGTGCCCAGTCACACCCGGCACACCCTGTGCACGCCCCTGTGGCCTTTATTCATATTTGACCACACATTGCAGGCATTTTTACCTTACAACAACCTGGGAAGACTGTAGTGGGAGTAAGCAGAGGAACAGACATAAATGGACAATTGCCATGAGTCTATGCTTCACATAAATGCCAAGATGGAAACAACATTTGCAAAAAACCTGCTGATTGATCATCAGGCACCATCTGTACAATTTAACATTCTCGTTTGCACGGTACCTTGAATTTCTGGATATTTAAGGAGAATGAGGAATCCGTATCGAAGAGTTGTGCTTATAGTTTCAGTTCCAGCAAATAACAAATTTGAAGCTGAAGCCACAAGATTCTTCATGTGAAACTCTGTATCTGGATTTTCTTTTTCCTGCAATAAGGCACAGCAACACTGTATTGCACATAACCATTGACACACACATTATTTATACCTGCTCATTAGAGACTATGGGGTCTATTCACTAAGCTGCCGAAGGATCTAGCCGTACCTTCGGCTGATCCTTCGGCTAGCTTCGGCCCCAGGACCCCTTCGGTTCAGGAGAACCGAAGGGCTGCTGTACGGGCTATTCACTAGTACAGCTCCCGAAGTTGGCCGAGCGGCTCAGACGAGCCGAAGGCATATGCTCAGTCGAGCCGAAGTGAAAGCCGAAGCTGGCGGAATGGCCGGCCAACAGCCTGCTTCTGACAGCTGGCTCCGGCCACTTTCAGAGATCAGCATCACTGGTTACCAGCTAACCAGGGACGCTGTCATTACACACTGATAGCGGCCTCTCCGTGTTCACAGTGTGTAATGACAGATGGCGTTCCTCCCCCGGACGCTCTGGAAGTCTAATAGGCTCCCAGCCACCTGGGAGATAACACTTTCTCCCATAAAGGTTCACTCTGCTCAATCGAGCAGAGTAAATCTTTCCCTGCTCGTTTTTTTTTTCTTCTGATAACGGAGCCGTTGGCTGCAGTTCTCCATCAGGTCCCCCTCTGGTGATTGACAGCAGCAGAGTGTTAAATCATGATCCATAGTACATAACATGTAGTTGTACTATGGATCATTTAGTTAGTGAATAGGGAGTGCAGCTAATGTTACTGGAAAGGGAGTGCGGTTATTGTTAGTTTATGGTCCTGTAAGGGAGTTCGTATACTGATTACAACGGCCGGCCGGGAAGCAGCTCGTCGGGCTCCACTGTCTGCTCGTCACAGACGAGTGGACGAGTGGATTTTTCGAGCCCTGGCTCAAGGTAACCAGGCAAATCACTCACAAAACAACTAGAAGGCAATCTTATCCTAACTTGAACTGTGTTAAAATATATGTAAAGCTTAACAATAAACTTCTGTTATTTATTCCCTTTTGGACTGCAGACAACACGTCGGATGAAGTTTGAAAGCATCTGTGGGGGGATTGCTTAGCTGTGTATGTCCAGGGGACTAGGGACGGGGAAGTGAGGTTTTTGTAATAAAACCTGAATTTGTCCTTGTTATATTTTCATATTTGACGGAGCTAAATTTGAAACTTTATCAGACTGATACTTTAGGTCAGAAAGGATTTCTCTCAAATTTTAGTTTTTTGTCTTTAACATGAAACTTTGACTTTATTGTCTTTTTTAAGTCTTAGGCCTAGTTCACACCTGAGCGTTTTTACGCACGGATCTAGTCACTTGAAAATGAGCAAAACACACATTTCCATGCAAGCCAATGGCGACTGCTCACACCTTAGCATTGCGTTACATGTAAGAAAATGCCTGTTAGGCAAAAAGATGCAGGAGCTGTTTTCAGGCAAAGGCCGCACAGTTTTGGTCCCATAGACATCTCTATGCAAGGATAAACGTGCGTTTTTAAACGCAAAAACGCGTTAAAAAAAAATCACGCAACAAACATGCAAAACTGCAAATGCCTAGGTATGCACCTGCCCTTACAACACCATACCAAAGAACTGTTATACCAATTACAATAAACAGCAAAAACAAAATATTTACTTATAGTTGAGCATATTTATTCCATTACCTCCTGCATCCTTATCAGAAAACAATCAACAAAGTGCTGGGGAGAATTGGGATCCAGGGTCCTTTGGCTCTCTTCCACCCTCTCATCAACAAACGCCTTGAGCTCAGACAGATATTGTGCCCCTCGCTTGGCAGGTCCTATCATGTAAGGCATAAGCCAAACGAAGTTGTAAAGAAGCTGAAATATTAGAAGATTTGTTCAGTTTAGATTTGAAGCAGATTTAAACTGAATTCCTGACAAATAGCTAAATACACAGCTGTAATACGCAGATGGGAGCTGTTCTAGCTACAAAAAAAAAATGTCCTTTTGTCAGGCTGGTTTTCTCATGTTTTTCTGATGCAGTTTGGTTATTGGACACAAAGAAACAACAGCAGACGTGTCCATTCCTCGCAAAGTAACCATTTTTCTTGCTAGCCCCCCTCCCATGTTTCCTCATCATCTTGTTCGTCTGCCAGAGCCAAAGACAAAACTGAGACTGAGACAAAAGCCCTGTTTAAGTTCAATGTCAGTCTGTTCAGAACTTCATGACCTTCCTCTACCCACACGTGATAGTGCTCAGGCATAGTGATTGATCAACTAGCTGCTGAGTACTGCATAGTCTAAAACTGGCCTAGATCTATAGATTATCTGCAGATTTTCTATGGTCAGATGGAAAAGTACAACAGATTCCTCCATGTATGCTAAACTGTGCGGATGGATGAATCTCCCACTGGGCTAAGCTTCAGTATCATGGTAGTCGGCCCTGCTGGCTCTCAAAATACCTGAACAATGCCTGCATCCAATAAGATTGTTCAGGTATTTTGAGAGCCAGCAGGGCCGACTACCATGATACTGAAGCTTAGCCCAGTGGGAGATTCATCCATCCGCACAGTTTAGCATACATGGAGGAATCTGTTTCACTTTTTCCATCTGGCCATAGAAAATCTGCAGAAAAGCTATAGGTGTATGGCTAGCTTAAGGAAAAGAAGAAGGTAATATGCTCCCCAAGTGTTCTGTGAACAGTCCAACAATGGAACATGCTAAAGGTATCTACAGTTGAGAGGTCACGCTATTAAATCGATAGGTTAAGGGTTAAAGGACATGTTTAACCAAAACTTTT